TGTGTTCCGGGGTGGTCAAAAGGGCCAGAAAGGGTAATTAGTCATCTCCAATGCTTTTAGACAGATATTTTTGCAGTATGCACATGTCAATCATCTCAGTGGTCATTTATGGAAGATGAAAACCTTACTCAGGCCACTAGAAAAGGTATACTGGCCTGATATGATAATGAGACGGATAGCTGTCGGAATTCCGCTTTGCTATAAGCTCAGCATGACACAAGACAGTACAGGATTTTCACCTGCAGAGATAGCTCTTGGCCTGTAATCTGAAAGGACCAATGGAGAGAGCCCTCCAAAAGCCTCCCGATCCTGAAAATCCTGCTTATCCTATCTTGGATCATCAAGAACTGCTCATCAGCATGGTAAAGGAAAATGTGAAATGAGCTCAAGTCAAACAAAATAAGTACTACGACAAATGACACAGATCATGTGAATTTCAAGTTGGAGACGTAGTTTGGGTTCGTACCCATCCCTTATTTAAAGCAGATGATGGCTTCATGGCTAAATTGTCACCTAAATGGAAAGGTCCAGCGGTAATTAAAAAGAAATTAGGTCCGGTAAATTACAGAGTTTCTTTTATGGTTGATCCTGTCTCCATAGACTCTTAGCATGTACAGAATCTTAAAATTTGTCACGGTTGGGACAAATTTTCCATCGAGGGGAGGAGTATGTAACTGACCATAGTACGGTTACTATGTTTTTTTTGTTTTTATTTTATTTTGGTGTAGTTCCTCTACTGTAGGCTATAGGCTGTTCTCCATTTGGGGATAAAGTGTAGATAGGCAGTAGAGTAAGATATACCTGTTTGATTAAGGGAAAGCATGGCTTTCTCTCATGTAACCTTAATTTTAATGCTTAATGGAGTTCGGATTGAGAAACAAATGCTTCCAGCTCAATCATGTAAGTGTTCTAGCTTGTTTTGAACTTTGCACTTAGCATACTTTGCACTTTGTAACTATGCACTTACTTTGAATATAGTTAAAATAGCGGTGCAATTATGGGCTGTTGTTATATGCTAATGCTAGTTGTGTGTTTGTTTTGTAGAAGAACTCTTTTTTTCTGTCTCTCCTCCTTTCTTTTGTACTGTGACTTACTCATTGTTGGACTAATGAATAACCTGATCAAAACGCTTTGCTCATCGTGCTGAGATCATTCAAGATTGCAATGCACACTATGTTTTAAGGAAACTTGGAGTGCTGATCGTTTGGAATACTTTTTCTATCGGACTATTGGATTTTTTTGCCTTCTATCATCATTGGGGTCTTCAATGTTCGTGTTCAGTGCCTGCTTCGGCTGAGAGACTCGTATTCATTCAAACAGACAAGTTTTCTTTTCTTTTACACAGATTAATGACACACAATTTTTTTGCACTCAAATGACTTTATTGATTCTTTTTCATGCATATACAGAAGTGATTTGTGGTTTGCTTTATTTTTATATAAACACTTCAAAATAGTATACCGTGTTCTCTGTGGTTTTCAGTCGAGGGCCCTCCCTTAAATAAAATTTTGTGATTTAGCCCCCTTGAGCATTCTCATGGAGACGGTTACATAAGGAATATATATAAACATATAAACATCTATTTCTGTTAATACAGAAACAGAAAACAAGCTCATCATAGAAGAGGTGTTTTCAAGTCACTGTATGTATGATTTGCATTTTGAATACATTTTTAGATAGAACAAACAATGAGCATCATGCCATTGGTCCACATTTCAATGTGTATTTATTCAAAACAATTACTTTTTATTCTGTAAACTTGGTGTACATTATGACTCATTGTTTTGCACTTTTCAATTTGCTGGGTGGTGGTCTCTGTTCTAGAGTCATTACCAGAAGCTGCCATTCTTATTGTACAAACTCATCCACATGTAACCTCAAAAGCCTCCTCTCCAGAGTAAATAACAGCCACATGGGCATAGCGCATGACCACACACACATACGAGACAAATCAGGGTCATTAGGGTTTGTTCCTTTGGGTACTACACAAACATCTGCTCCAAAAGCCAGTTTTTCTGGAGTCTGTGGCTTTAATTAAAGTTTATAAACCTTTAAAACATGGGATTATGTGGGTGAAGTTGTACTAAAGTCTCTTACAAACAAGACCAAATGAAACCTAAGAAAAAAACATGCTCCAGAAGTCGGAAAGCCTTTCAGATAGAAAAACAAACATGAACAATTGAGAAGGGGAGAAAATAAAAGTCATTCACAAACATCAACACAGCATGATCCCTGTGAATAACTCATGAGATGTGTGTGTTGGGATGTGTGCAGCAGATGAATGGGGGCTGATGCTACACTCCACTGAGTCTTTTTAAAACTCAAGACAGGGGGCTGAGAGAGACCTGTGGCCTGAATCAGTCACCTGTCAGCAGGACCACAGGGTAAATAAACAGTGAGAAATAGGTTTGAATAGGTTGTATTTATTTATTTTCATGTGATTTTTCTTTTGCATATGAGGTTTCTGCCAGCTCATTTCAGTTTTTTCCATTCTCCACTCAATCACCTCTCTGCCTGTGTCACCATTACTCAAATGAGTGACAATCTGGAGTAATATGATGAACAGACCACCTGGCTGACCTCTAGAACAAAGCTTCTCTCCTATTACAATTGCAAAGAATCTTCAGAGACTTCTTGGCTGCCCTGAACCACATTTTATAACACACTATGCTTTTCTGTAGTAGAGCATGGCATTAACAATGCCAAAGTCATGAGTTCAACTTCCAGGGAAAGCAAGAATTGAACAAATATATGTTTTATAACAGCAGTGGCGCCTGCAGGTGTATGGCTGTACGCACTGTCCGTACCATGAGTGCTCAGACTGACCTGAGATTTGCCCCGCAAACTTTTCAGCAGTTATTATAGGCCTGTGTGTCCCGTATTTCTGTCGACTGAACCAGCCAGGCCATTAATTATGAATTTATCAGTCTTTTGCATGCCAAAGTCAATTTCTGCATATAAATATTACGCCAAACAGAAGCAGAAAATCGTGCTATACGCACTTTCATGAGATCGGGTTAGCCTACAGCAATTAATTTGTTGGCTATTTTACAAATGGGAATACGACAAATTCATGACAATGTTTTACATTCAAGCTACCCATAATAAAATGTATAGTTAAAAGTACTTTGAAAGTGTCTGGAATGTAATAAAGTAATTTTTAAACCTGTTTTTAAAGCATTTGCTGCATGGATAAAAAAATAGGCTAATAAATAATTCACATATCAGACAAAATTGCATTGCAGCAAATCCTTTAAATTTTAAGGTATTCAGAACAGAGCAACATAAAATCAGAAAATATAAGCAGCTATACAATTATGGGACAAAGTTTTACATATATGCCATTAAAATTTGTGTTTTATTTTTTAATTGTACAGAATTATAAAATAAAACACAAATTATAATAGTACCTGTTTTAGGATTTTGCTTATTTTTATATTTTAGACATCCATCAATTATTATGGTGATGAAAAAAAAAATGACTCGCCATCTCCTCATTGGATGTGCCTTTAGAGAGAAATGCACGGATTACATAATGAAAGCGTTTCTATTTTCGATTTGAATTATTTCATTTTAAAGTAGTAATTTAAAGCTTTCTATATATTTTTATCATGTCTGTGAGGCAATTCGCTGAGTTTAGGTTCATCATTGTGAAGCGCTCCTGCTCAAGACCGAGACGGCAGAAAGCGTTTATTTTCTTTATTTTATAAAAGCACAACGTTTTGTTGATATTGTGAGTGCACACAAATAAATCTAGACCCTTTGCAGTTTAGAATGATGTATTACTCTTACCTTTATGAACAAAAATGACTGCGTATTTTAAGTTGTTTCCACTGTTAGAAAAAAATGCAAGTGATCGCGCAGGCGTCTCCATGTCCTGCAGAGCGCGCTTCAGCTTCCACTCTCCACACAAACGATTGGATATGCGTCTAACAGTGCACATTCATCTAGGTTAAATGTTTAAACTAGCGTTGTGATATGCTTGAACTGTCTGCTTTATATATAGATTTTATTTTAGGCAAGTCGTGATGATTTGAGATGGCTAAATTGATCAAACATATAGGCTATGATCATTTCAATGTCTGCCGCTGGCTGCTTGGTCGTTACTTAAAAAATAACATAAAATAAAATAAAAAATAAAAAAAACTTACATTTAACGAACAAAAAAAATGCTCCAAACATTTTTTTTTTATTAACTTTATAAAAAAACGAAACAAAATATAATCACTTTTCCATTACATACAAAACTGAACCATTTTAATAGCTGAAACAGTAGTATAAGCTTTTTTGTGAAAAGGGGAAAAAAGGCTGGCTAGGGCCTATATTTGAGGCCCGTGCAGGGCTCTAATCCACTTCATCCAACGCTGTTTTGTTCTCTGTTTTCATGTGTGAGCATGCTCTTGATATATGTATTTTACCATTTTGTTGAGTTTAAAACGTGTGACACATTCGTTCTGTTTCACTGATCATTTGGTTGAAAAAAAAAAAAACCTCTGTGCGTACCCTCGGAAGAAATCCTGCCGGCGCCCCTGTATAACATTGTAATGATTTAGCCAACCAGATATCATGAGAAAATTAATCTTTTTTTTTCAAGGTTGTGATTTCGTATGAATTTGTACGAAGTGATCTGTATGGATACATACCATTTTTATAAGTAAACATAAAGGTTCACACTCTAGACCTAACATTCAATGGTGCGTAAGTAGATCGTACAAAAACATATTAATAAGATTGTACAAATTCATATCAATTAGTCACTAATTCACCAAAATATAAAATGCCAGAAGAGTGTGTTTGATTTAGCTTTGCTGGGTTTTAGGTAGCAAGGAGGAAACTAAATAAGTAAATTGATCTGCTGATGAAAGTCATTCATTCCCTCACAAAAAGTACCATGGTGGAGAGATGGTAATACCATGGTACTATCATGGCCATTTTAATGATACCTTATTCATTTACCATGGAATAACCCAAATATTGTCATATAAAAATGTGTCACTCACCCACATAGTGAAGGTAGAGGGCCAGATACTTGTACTGGAAGAGGGGGTTGTTGTTGAGGCTGCTTCTCTGGATCTTCTGGAAGAAGGAGCTGACATCCCAGCGGTACAGCACCTCTAGTAACATGATACTGGGGACCCGCAGGCCCACATTCAGCACCGCCTCCACCCGCTCCTTCACTGCCATCACTCCTGACTACCGCCAACCACACACAATTCACTGGCACTATCACACACCAGCACTGCACTGATACGAGATAGAGAGACACAAACAGAGATAGAGAGAGAGGTTCATGACAGTCTGTCAGTAAAAAAAGGTGTTGTCTGAAGACAAGCCCTAATCACAAGAGAAGCTCTGAAAACAAGACCAAAAAACTGATTCAGAGAATTATTCCTCAACTGAATACAGCAGAAAATACAAAAAGTTTGTGTAGGCTGTAATTAGGCAGACTAAATATAAAATGTGGCAGCATTGTGCACTGAAGTTTAATGGACAGAGTCAAACATAGGTTATTACATAACCTGTTTGTTTCCTTAGGGCTGCTTGTTTTTAAAACTCACATAAAACACAGCGCAGACAGAGCATAAAAACAGTGTAATATAATGTATACCATAACCTAGCAAATAATGCAGGTAACTTGTCAAAGTTTCCATAAAACTGTAAGCAGCAGCCTTATAGGCAAACAGTTACATAATGCTGAATGCAATGCATCTGTTTTGCACCCAGTGTGCTAAGTATACACACTTCTGAGGGACTGTCAATTTTTGTAAATTCGTTTGTAAAATAACTTCGGTGGGGCATTTTTTCGGACCCAATAATCACCTGTGTTCGCGCATAATTTGTCAATTAAAACGTCTATAAGCTATCTT